TTTTAAACGATATTTTTAGAGACAGGAGTCCCACTTTGTTGCCCAAGCGGGAGTACAGTGGCTATTCACAGGCACAACATAGCATACACACTACAGCCTCAAACTCCTGGTCTCAAGTGATTCTCCCACTTCAGCCTCTCAAGAAGCTGGGGTTCCAAGTGTTTACCACCGCATCTCACTAAATGTTTAAAGATGAAAATTATTTTATTAATTCTATTTTTTGTTGTTGTCTAATTCATTATTTCCTGCCAGTGAGGAATTTATAATTTTCTTTTCCAGTTTGAAAGCAGTCACTGTTTACCTGACCCAATTACAAAGAAAATCGTGGTAGATACCTTAGCTCACCCTTCAAATAAGTCAGTTGATTTGGTCTTCCCTGTTTCTAGCTTGAATTCTACCTTAATTAGAATCATGACTCATGCTTTTTTATTTGTATTGCCTGGTATGCCGTTGCTCATCCTTTTGTTTTTAACTTTTAACCTAAGTTTTGAGTGTCTCGTGTATACAACACACTATAGTATTGGATTTGGTCTATAATAAAATCTGAACACCTTTTAAATAGGTGAGATATGCCCATTTATACTGATTAATGTGACTATATGTAGGAACTTAATTTGTCAGATTATTTGCTCTTTTCTTAAAAAATTCAGCTGGGCTCAGTGGCTCAGCCTGTAATCCCACGCCTTGGGAGGCTGAGGTGAGTGGATTGCCTGAGCCTGCGGGTTCGAGACCCGCCTGGGGCAACTTGGTGAGACATCATCTCTACAATAAATAAAAAAATTAGCTGGGCGTGGCAGCGCACGCCTGTAATTCCAGATACTTGGAAGGCTGAAGTGGAAGGATTACCGGAGTCCAGTAGGTCAAGGCTGTGGTGGCCAGGAGCAGCCACTGCACTCCAGTCTGGGTGACAGAGTGAGACTCCAACTCAAAAAAAAAAAATTAATTCTGGCTCTGACATTTAGGAAGGTTTAGATCTGATTCATAGTGGCCATCTTTATGTCTTTGAACTGTATTTCTTTGTAGTGTCTGCTTCTTGTCTGTAAATAAAAAAGAAATAGATTGTACTTACTCTTCCCTATCTACCACTACCCAATTTAAGGCAATATTATTATTCTTTACTTGTGTACTCTTAAATATGCTTAGACTTATACTACTTGATTTGTCAGTTTTAAATTATATCTTTTGAATCCTAACTACATGAAGCAATCAGAGCTTACTCTATGTTCTATCACTTCTCTTCTCATTTTTTTGTTAGATGCATTCTTCCCACTGTCAGAATATAAAACACAGATATTATTGTCACTTATACCACCTATGTCTTAGTTCTGTAGTTGAATTTATTCAGTGCTCATGCTAGTTCTTTTGCTAATGTTTCCTCAATCATCAGTTGGTGCACTGAAACTTTCCTTCACACTTGAGTCACAGTTTGGGCGATAAAGAACTTCTAAATTCAAAGTTAGACTAAATTACAGGCAAGGCCCTCAATCTAGAGCACTAATCCCATAAAGGAGCACCACCATCTGGGCATGGGTGCTCAATTAAGACTTTTATAAGCTGGGGCTCGGTGGCTCAGACTGTAATCCCGCACCGTTGGGAGGCTGAGGTGAGTGGATTGCCTGAGCCCGCGGGTTCGAGACCCGCCTGGGCAGCGAGACCTCATCTCTACAATAAATCAAAAAATCAGCCGGGTGTGGTAGCGCATGCCTGTAATTCCGGCTACTCGACAGGCTGAGGCAGAAGGATCACCGGGCTGAGGCGGAAGGATCACCGGAGCCCAGCAGGTTGAGGCTGCGGTGGCCGGGAGCAGCCACTGCACTCCAGTCTGGGCGACAGAGTGAGACTCAAAAAAAAAAAAAAAAAAAAGACTTTTATTTCAGCACTGGGGCAAGTCCAACAGCTGCACAAACAGAAGAGTCGGGACAGGGGCAAATTGGGAGGTTGTTTATCCCAGTCAGTCAGCTTGATTCCCTTCCAATTTTGCTCTCCTTATCACCTCTTCTCCTTATCTACAGATCTTCTCCATAGCTATCCTGTGACTAATGGGCTTCTATCTCCACCTCAGGTCTTGTTTATGCATGGTTTTATCTGTGGTTTCTTCAATATTTTTCCATTTACCTTCCATCTTCTATAACTTGAAAGTATCTTATTCACTAATATTGCCTTTCATCCCACCTCAATGTCATTATTCTTTTTCTCAAAAATTCCAGTGATATTTGAGAAGAAAAAAGTGTGTTCAGTTGCCATCTTGAATCAGAAATTTGATCTCTGACATTTAAATTAGGAGCTTATCATTGACTGATGATAGAAGGCACTCCCATTGCACAGATCCAATGTATCTGCTACTACATAATTTCAAAAATTATATATTTTCCATTATTTGCGAATTCATGTTAACTTTTCCAACAGTGCAGTATATTATTTTTACCACAGCTAACTGGTTCCAAATAGCCAAGTGTTGACAGTATGTGAAAAATAGCCTTATAAATTGTAAAGCATAATATAAATCATTGGGTGTGAGTAAAAAGAACATGGAATGAATAAGCCATGCTTCTGCCATGAACTAGAGGAATCACTTCCCCTGTCTGAACCACTGTTTCCTTGGCTATAAAATAATCACATTAAGTAAGGTTAAAAGCTCTTTTATCTCTAATGGTTTATGAATTTACATCTTTTATGATTTTTGTCAGACTTACATTAGCCTGATTAAGAAAAAATGCAAACATTTCCTTAAACACGGGTAATAAAAATAGCATGATTTTCATGTTCTATAGGTTTAAGGAGTTCCTAGTCACAGTCAAAGTAATAATGTTAGCACTTAGAAGCAAGAGAAGGCCTCCTCAATTTTTATTATAATCTACTTCAGTTCTCTAAGTTGTTTTCCTCACCCAGTAAGACTACCATGCCTCTAGAATCCCCAGTATATAGAGTCCAACTTAGGCTTTTATAGGAGACATGACAGTAAGCAGGAGGCCCAGGGATGAAAAAGTTGCTGTGTCAAAGAAATAATACAGATTAAGGAGTGATTTGGATAAATATATTTGTCAAGATTCAGGAAGGTAGGTTGGAAAGTTGCTTGGCTTAGCAGGTTATCAGGGGGCAGATAAGCCAGATATAATTGGTCATCTGACTTACAGTTACTCTAGTCTTCAAATTGCTCTTATTTTTGTCTAGATAGTGATACCACCCATATCCCGTAGCACATGTATTTTGGTAGAAATCAACTCCATTACAAGTTCTAGTGGTAGGGTAAGTGAACCATGATCCCACTCATAAAGCATACTTTTAAGTTAATGGATGAGCACACAACTCAGTTACAACCTATAAAACAGTTTTCTTGGGGGCATCTAAAAAACCGTCCGTGCTCTCTCAGACACAATCTAAGCTTGCTTTCTCTACAGGGAGATGGGTGAAGCACATGTACTCGCAAGTGCCAGCCTTAGGTTAAAGCTGGTACTATCTAGCAGGCAAAATTAAGGGATGGAAAAAAGCAGGATCTTTGATTACACCATGAATCATTTAAGTCATACCAACTCTAAACCTTCCATAGTACTTCCAAATTTTCCCTTTATTAGTTAAGGAAACTTGCACAGGATTTTCTTTCTCTTGCAACTGGTAACATTTAATATATCAAAGATGCAAAGACAAACTTGAAAATATTCAGCAGATGATGTCAAACTAAGGTTAAATCCATCAAACTAAGGTTAAATTCATATTCTAATAGAGATAATTATTAGGTGCACTTACTCTGAGGCAGCAACTATTCACGAGCCAAGTTACAAGAATGTGAACCCATAATGTACAATGATAATGTAAAAGTAGCTATAAATGGGTAAACAGACATTTCAGTTTGTTCAGGGAAGTTAAAACTTATCCTTCTTGTCCTGGCATATGTGTTTACTTATTTATTTATTTTTGAGTTGGAGTATCACTCTGTCGCCCGGGCTGGAGTGCAGTGGCATGCTCAGGGCCACCCCAGCGTTGAACTGCTGGGCTCCAGCAATCCTTCTGCCTCAGCCTTCCAAGTAGCTGGAACCACAGGCATGTGCTACCATACCCAGCTAGTTTTTGATTTATTGTAGAGACAAGGTCTCGCCAAGTTGCCCAGGCTGGTCTCAAACCCGCGGGCTCAGGCAATCCACTCACCTCGGCCTCCCAAAGTGTTGGGATTACAGGATGAACCACCAAACCCGGCCTGGCATAATTATTAATAGCATCTCATTCACTCTCAAGTGTCCACATTTACACAGTCGCCCAGTCTTTAAAGCACACCCTTGGATTTAAATATAATTATCTTTAGAAAAATAACACTAACCCAGGAAAATGCCTAGAGACCTTTAAAAGATAAGAGGATTCAATCTTTAATTGCTGTGACTGGTTTTAGAAAGAAGTAGTGACAGGAAAAGTGTCTGTGTCTGCAAAGAATCAATAGCCATGTGTCATTTTTATTCTAAATACATTATTACAATTTTCTATCTACTGAACTGCTTCTATGGGAATGGATGCTTAGGGTTCACACAGACCCTCATTTATAAGAATGATACAATTCTTGTGAAGATGAGGTAGGGAACAAGATTCAAAAACACTGGCAGACCTTACATTAAATATATATTTCTTCTATCATCTGCCACCATATCTAAAATACCTGTGCAGTCCAAACTAATTTATTTGCGCTTAATTTCTTCTTTAGTCCTCAGTTAAACTGGACTCGAACTACACAGTCTATTACTAACAATACCAGATCAGAAGGGAGTTGGTATCTGGAACTAAAGCTCTCTGGCAGAGGCCAGATGAAGTCAAGAAAGGATGAGAGGTACCTAGCACTAAACAAGGGGCTCTGCTTAGGGCATCTATGGCCCTTCTTAGCAACTTAAGCAAAACATGTTATTTGCACCTTCGTGTTCCTCAGTAGAGAATTCCATCTTATAAGTCATAAAGTTTGAAAAATAATCACAGCTAGTGCTTGTTATTGTTCTAGTACCGTTTTAAAAAACACATCCATGTTCATTTGGCTTTATGATATTGTGACTTTTATCCAAACCCACACATTGATTAAACATGGTTCAGGAGTGAGGCTGACATACACCCACACCCTTGTTCCCTAAAACACCCATGTACTTTCAGCGTCTTTCAGCACAGATAAGGTAAGGTTGGGGCTGCAATGTCATGCCTAACCTGGGTTTCAGATTTGGAACTAGCTCATGTGGAAAATGCAAATGAAACCGCTGAAGCAATGCTGTAAAAAACAAAAACAATTCCATCCGAGCCAGCTGTTCTCCAAGACAGTGTCTTCTCCCTAAACAGAAAAAGCAGATATAATAATTTTTTAAAACCCACAATATTTAACAAAATTAATGTCTAATATTTGGGTGCCATTCAGGAAATCTGGAATTTAAAGAAAGTTAGAGAAAGTTGTTTATTAAAATATTTTCTTAAATCCCGAAGAATAGAAATTGGCACTTCACTTCCCAGAATCCATTCTTCTGCCCCCTTTTGTCAGACCATGGACTTTTGTAAGACTTTAGTCCTCTCCCCTAGTTTTCTTGCACATTGTAACAGAGCCTAAGATAACCTCTAATTTGAGGTATGACATTTTGTTTTATAGATCCAAGAGAAGCCCATTTTATTTCAACTGTGTATTCTTCTCCAAGGAAGAGGAAGAGTTTCTAGTCCACCTTCCTTGGGTCTTGTGATCTGTATACTTTTTCACAGCAGAAGCAATATTTTCCTAGTTGGAGATGAGGTATAATAACTGCAAGTGAAGAAAGCCAGATTCCAGTTTTACTTCAAGTAGTCATGTCTTTTTCCCTTTTCTCAGCTTTTCCCTTTTCTGGATCTCAGCTTCTCAACAACCAGCTACTGATTTCTCACTCTACAGGTTTTGACTACAGTTCAAAAATCCACAGGCAAAGAAGTTTCACAAGAAACCAGAGTTTCTCGACAATTTATCTCTGGTTAATAAGTTAAGGCTTATTTTTAGAAGAAACAGGTGTCAGTTATCTCCAATGAGACCATTCTCTCCTGTAAGAAGCAATGCTGTGTTTTCAGAATTGGAATATTTAATTAAATAGCAGGAAGCTTCAGATTAAGATGCTATACATAATGAATCACTGTTTTATACTTTAATCTAAAGTTATGCCCCTGTAAAAGTTCTCTTACCTAGAGAAAAAGGAACAAAAGCTTCCTTCTTGGCAAAATATCCACTGCTGTCCAGAAATCGCTCAGGATAGAATACTTCTGGGTCTCTCCAATACTTTTCATCAAAGTGTACAGAATAAAGATTTGTAATTACTGTTGTGCCTTTAGGAATTGAATAACCACGTGCAACTGCATCTTCAGAGGTTGCATGGAAAATCCCTAATGGAACTATATTACAGAATCTTAAAACTTCATGCAAAACTGCCTCAGTATAAGGCATTTTGCATTTGTCGTCCCAAGAAGGCTTCCCACTGGGGCCTATAATTAAATCAATCTCTTTCTGAACTTGTCCTGTCAGAGAAAAAGTGTTCAAATTATTATGCAATTCGTAGAATTATATCTAAAGTAATTTCCCTTGGATAAAACAAAGGCTAACCTACAATAAGCCAACAGGATATGGGTACACCCAGATTCAGATTTTTCATTATCTAGGAGTTCTATTTAATTAAATTTATGCTATATATCTTTAACTAACAGTAACCAATGTTCTAGGTAACTCTGTTGTGAAAAGTACATTAAAAGTAATAATAGGCCAGGTGCTGTGGCTCATGCCTGTAATCCCAGCACTTTGGGAGGTAGAGGTGAGGGGAATGGCTGAGTCCAGGGGTTCGAGACCAGCCTGGGCAACTTAGCAAGACCTTGTCTCAACAATAAGTCAAAAAATTAGCTAGGGTAGGGGTGCATGCCTGTAGTTCTAGCTACTTGGAAGGCTGAGGTGGAAGGATCGCCTGAGCCCAGCAGGTCAAGGTTGCATTAGCTATGAGCGTGCTACTGCATTCCAGCCTGGGTGACAGAGTGAGACTCTGACTCAAAAAAAAAAAAAAAAGTAATAATAATAAAAATGAAGCAATCTAGAATTGGTGAAACATTACTCTCAGCAAGGAAAACAGTGAAGCATAAAATTAATTATTTTTAATTTAAAAAAAAACAGAGTTCAGGTACCAGCTCTGCCACTTCTAGATACTCACAGTCTTTTTCCTGATTTATAAAATAGGCACAGTAAGACCTATGTTAGAGATTTTGTACATAAAACTGAGATAAAAGATTTGAAAACTTCTCAAAACTATCAAGTAGTTCTCTTCTTGGCTAGCATAGCAGGAGTACCTAAATAAAATGCTTTGTACATGGCCAGAGACTCTAAAACATGTATGTACTCTACATATAAGGACAGACCCTGAGGTTATGAAGAGAATCCTCACCTTGAATGTTAGGATACAGGGCCATGAAAAGAATAGCCCACCGTAGCACATTGGTTGTAGTTTCAGTTCCAGCAATGATCAGTTCACCCACCGAGAAAATCAGGTTTTCTTTGGAGAAGGTAGATGATGGGTCATTTTTACTTTGATCCATCTCATCTAAATAAGCATCAACAAAATGCTGAGGTAACTGAGGTTTTCTGTTGACAGAAACTTTTTCGATAAGACTAGAGAGAAAATCATAGACCACAGCTGCATTTCTAAACAGCTGTTGATGTTTTCCAAAAGGTAAGATGCCAATCCATGGAAAGGCATTATACAGGAAGACTGAGGCACTGGCAGCTAGCTCTACATTTTCACTAAATAACTCAATCATGTGCTGAAAATCAGTGTCTTCATAAGTAAAACGTTCTCCAAAAAGGATCAGATTGGTTATGTTTGAAACAGCATTTGTTATTAATTGCTTAAAGTCAAAAGGTCTACTCTTGTATGTTTCAATAACATCAATGAAAAATTTGGTTTCTTCTAAGATTTTAGATTCAAAAGATTTTTGGCCGTATCCAAAGTAGCGAAAGCTGTTTACAGCTAATCTTCTGTGATCGACCCATCCTCGGCCATATCTGGAATTGAGTAAGCCTGAAAAAAAAGAAATAAAACTATTGTATAATTCTTACTTCCCTGTATCTAACAGCTGAAAATGTTAGGGAGTTAATAAATTAATGTATGGTTAGTCATTCTTCCCCAGGTTACTCTTCTATATAAATAGATGGTTGGGTCCTTTCCTCTGCTACTCTTTAGCCATAGAATAATGTAACAGGTAAAGCTTATCTACTCCTCATAAAAAAAAACCAGCCACAAGATGCTAGCCAGTCTTGTGTAATCCAACCTGGGTGAAATAGGCCCAGGTGACTTTATTAGTCAACTTTTATTATAAGCCTAATTTACAAAAGACAAATGACTGCATGCTCTGTGGGCAAAACTTTATATTGGACTAAACAAACACCTAAAAATCATCCTTCTAGGATTAGAAATTTTCTGCTTAAAAGAGAATAAATTTTTTTTTTTTTGAGTTGGAGTCTCACTGTCTCCCAGACTGGAGAGCAGTGGCCGCTCCCGGCCACCACCGCAGCCTCAACCTGCTGGGCTCTAGCGATCCTTTCGCCTCAGCCTTCCAAGTAGCTGGAACTACAGCCGCGCGCTACCACGCCCAGCTAATTTATTTATTTATTTATTTATTGTAGAGATGAGGTCTCAACAAGTTGCCCAGGCGGGTCTCGAACCTGCGGGCTTAGGCAATTCACTCACCTCAGCCTCCCAAAGCACGGGATTGCAGGCTGAGCCACCGAGCCTGGCTAAAAGAGAATAAATTTTAGAATACAAATTTCCTCCTGTAAAAGGTATAGGATACTCAACAAAGTAACGATGACAGAAGCAAGGGTAGTCTGAATGAGTTGTCAGTGTGGTAGAAATGCTCAAGTCAAAAGGAGGACAAACATAAAGCTCAAGCTTTTCTAATGTTAATATTGCTTGTCTTAAAATTTCAGACTCTCCACAGTATCTCTGTTCTGATGTGGCCCTTCTGGAAACTTTCCCTTTAAATTAATCATCAAGGGAAAAAAAACCATCTTCAGTACTTGTATTTATGTAGCATATACTTTACTCAAAGTTTCACTCATTATTAGGACATAAGTGCACCTATGATGAAAAAATGTCCTGTTCTCTTGTGTACATGAGGTACATATAAAATTTATATTCCAATAACTTTTGAGCAAAAATCTTTGAATTTGGAACTTATTATAAAGTTATCACATGTAAAGGAATATTTATTGCTACGTAGCACTCCTATATTCCCATAGTCCATTCTTTTTTCCACACTCCCAGATGACTATTCGTTCAACAAATACTCATTCAACATGTACTTACGGTAAACAAAAGAAGCAAAGATCCCTACTCTCATAGAGCTTACATACTAGTAGGAGAGACAAACAAAACAATAAACAAATAAATAAATTATATAGCAAGCAAAAAGATATAGGGTAGTCAGGGAAAGCCTCATTGAAAAGGTAACATTTGAGTAAAGAACTATAGGAGATAAAGAAGTTAGATCAGAAAATACATGGGGAGGCTATGCAGTGGCTCACTAATCCCAGCGCTTTGGGAGACCAAGGAAAGAGGATTGCCTGAGCCCAGTTCCAGACCAGTCTATGGCGAGACCTCACCTCTACGATAAATAAAAAAATTATCCAGAAGTAGTGGCACACACCCGTAGTTCCAGCAACTTGGAAGGCTGAGGCAGAAGGATCCCCGGAGCCCAGCAGGTCAAGGCTTCCTTAGCCATGATCATGCCACCGAAGAGGGGGGGCGAGGGGGAAGGGGAAGGTGGGATGGGGATGGGGTGGAGGAAAGAGGGAAAGGGAGAGAGGAAGAGGGAGAGAGGGAGAAAGAAAGAAAATAAATACTACCTGGGGGACGATCACAGTAGGTGGAGGAAACAACTAGTGCAATGGCACTGAGCTACAAACAAGCCCTAGAGAAATGTGTGCATATGGGATATATGTACAAGAAGGTACAGAAAGGCATGTTTATAATAACTCTACACTGGCCAAACTCTGTGCCTAGGCATGGGGCTAAGCCCACCCAAAGGGCAACTTTTTCCCATTCGCACAATAAGCTCATGGTGGCCATAATTTTCCAGTTCCAAGTTCAGTATGTATGTACCTTAAAATAACACACACAAGTTTCTGTTTTTCTTTTACTAGTTTTGATCCTGAGTGCTTATTTTATCTTTCTTTATGATAAAAATAATGTAAACTATAAATTTATAGCTTTGAAATATATACATTTTGTCTCAATTATGTCATTTTTCAATTTAAAAGGTCATCTATTATAATTATGGTTTCTTCTTTGACTCAATTGTCATTTAGAAGATTAATTTAGAGGCTTCAGATTGTTTTTTTAGTTATATTATTGCTTTCAAGTATCATTACACTCTGGCTGGAGAATTTGGTCTTCAAAATTTGTACTCTCTTTGCATTAGTTGATTGGCTTTGCAATTTAATGTAGGAATTTTATTTTTTTCTTTTCAGTCAACATCTTTATTTTTAGCTCGTGTAAGCAAGATATATTAAATTTTTATTTGAAATTAAGTGTGAAGCTCTCATTAAATCAGAATTTAGGATATCACTATTGTAAAAATTCTTGTATTATTAACTATTAAAGCCATTGCATCTGATTTCAATATTCTATTTTAGGCTTTCTATTGCTGCTCTCTTTATAATGATTTTGTCAACTTTCAGCCTTTCTCCCTTGTTGAATATGGAATCATCCAACACTGATCAACACTGAATCATACAGAATGCTAGTTCTTTGATACAAACTCCACAACTCTCTACTTACATATCATAGTGATTAATAGTTAAGGAAGACTGCTTCCAGTTTTGAAAGCTTACAAGCAGAATGATCCCAGCACTTTGGGAGGCTGAGGTGAGAGGATTGCCTGAGCCCAGGGGTTTGAGACCAGCCTGGACAACTTGGTGAGAACTCATCTCTACAATAAATAAAAAAAATGAGCCGGGTGTAGTGGCACATGCCTGGAGTTTCAGCTAATTGGAAGGTTGAGGTGCAAGGACCACCTAAGCTCAGCAGGTTGAGGTTGCGGTGGCCATGAGTGTGCTGCTGCACACTAGTCTGGGTGACACAGTAAGACTCCAATTCAAAAAAAAAAAAGTCACGAAGTACTCGAGACTGGCTTGAAAAGGGGATTTCTGATTCAAGTGCATGTATATGTGTTTATTCCTAACTTGTTTCACAAAACTTACAGATATTAAGTGCTAATTATTTAAGATATTATTTATAATAGTTACTAGATCTGGATTACAATATAATTGTAATAAAATAGTCTAAAATACAAGTATAATGCAACCTGAAATGTCCTCAAATACTAGGTTCCGTAAGTATGCAAATAAATACTTTCCTTTTAATCAGTACAAAAGAATTCCAACTGTATGCACTAAACGTACTTAAAATAAGAAATGTGATATAAATAGTTTAGAAATCACTAGGTAGGTGAAAATAAACATACCTCCCATTTTTGTCATCTTCATGAATAAAGGAAGGCACGGTCTGTCTGCAAAAATTTCACTTTGATGAACAAGGCATTCCTTTACTATATCATAGCCATTTAAAACCACAGTTGATATGCCTCCAAGATCTAAACTGAAGATCTTTGAGAAGAAGAGAAGAAAAACAACATTTAAATATGTAGAAAAATGTAATCATGGAAATCCAGAAGTGCTAAACCCAGTTCTCCCAGTATTTGTTACTTCCCCGAAAATATATTTACTACTCAACTGACAATATTTGAAGTGCCTTTCCTCTACAAGGCATGTCAAACTGATTTCATTATACCATTCAACGCCTGAAGTTATAATCTTATCAATGCTATAATGAAAAGAGTACTAGACTCATGAGGCCTGTGTTCTAGTTTTATGTTTACCACTCAACAAATATAAGACTCTGGGCAGAACACTTAATCTTTTGGGGGTTCAGTGTTGCCACAGAAAACATATTTGATTTAGATGTTCTTTTAAGATTCATTCCACCTCAAAATATTCAGTGATATCTAGGAATCTCCTTCTATTTCCAAGGTAAATGAGTAGGCAGCACCATCTGCATATTATCACTTTACGTTGGGGATGGGTTTGTAAAAGGCCTGAGAGACAACTTTGAATATATACATATTGTAAGTAGATTCATTTGTATTTAGCTCTCTGAATTCCATGAAGAAGTGAACCAAGGGGGCCCTAGGAGAACCTGACCTTGGAGAAAAGGCATTTACCACATAGGCAGAGGTGGCTATCCCTCAGCTAATGGGAAGGCAGAACAGAATATCCATCCTTTGCCTCGCTGAAGTTGTCTGCCATATGCCTCACTTCAGATTCACTTACAGTGTCACACCTCCTGTACTCTAATTTGGCTAACCCAATATAAGGGCCTAGTCCAGTGAGAACAAAGTCACATTATCAATGGGATGCAAAGACTGCTTTCTACCATCCTCTCAGGGGTTGCCTGAGAGCTTTTTACAGCCAAAGTACTGAGATAAGCCTTATCTCTGTGTTGGTAAGTAAGGCAGATTTAGTCATTTAGTAGTACACACACTACTTCAGAAGAAAACAGGAGGCTTAGCAGAGAATAAAAGTTCAGCAAAAGCAAGCAGTTATATGAGCAAAGGTGATGAAGAATCAACCAGCTGAACAGTAGGGCCACCAGAGACTTTGGCACAAGGGTGGGCCATGCCAACTGAACAGTAAGGTATATCCTGAATCTTGGGGAAAGAGCATGGACTGCCTGCAGTAAGCAGTGGTACGGATCAAAAGTGGCAGTAGAAGAGTTTTGAGCAGAAGAGAATGGCTACCAGTTGGGCAAAGATGGGGACCCTTTCTGTTCCCAATGGAGTAATGTGGTGGTATTAAAGGAGTGTAATTTTAGCAGAGACAATAAGAATATGGATTTTTTTTTTTTTAGTTGAATTCTCACTCCATCATCCAGGCTGGAGTGCAGCTGCATGCTCACGGCCTCCCCAGCGTCGACCTGCTGGGCTCTGGTGATACTTCCACCTCAGCCTTCCAAGTAGCCGGAACTACAGGCGCCCGCTAACACGCCTGGCTAATTTTTGTTTTATTTACTGTAGAGATGAGGTCTCACCAAGTTGCCCGTGCTGGTCTTGAACCCGCGGGCTCAGGCAATCCACTCACCTAGGCCTTGCAAAGTGCTTGGATTACAGGCTGAGCCACCGAGTCTGACCCATGGCATTAATTAATAGGAATTGGACCTAGTCCAGGAACAAAACAGACAGACTGAAGATTTCATAAGGATGGTGAAAGACCCTGGTACTGACAGTTGTGTAATTACAAATGGCAGAACAGAGGGCAGATGTGAGGAGGAACTATGACTTGAAAAAACTGTTATACAATCTACCTTTAATCATGAATTCAAGATGGCCCTCTATTTAAAGGTAAAACTGGAGAAATTTTTACTTGGATTACTATCTATTCTGGTATATACTGTTTTCAAGGACTTTTGGTAAAAGTTTATTAATAAAATTGTGAAAACTTATCCTTAAACAGTTTTATTTCTGGGAGGGTCCAAGTTTAGGTTAGACATTCTTTGATTTATTCAATAATTTTTAGTACCTATTATGGGCTCAATATGATGCTGGCAGAGATGTAAACAGGAATACACAAAACATTTTCTTGCCTTCTAGAAGTCACTCTATGATCTTCCAGTTTCTTCCTCTCCCCTCAAACCAGCTTTACCCATAATTTTTTACTATTTCAGTAATATCCACTCTATTCATCCTTCAGGTTGTTTAGGCCTAAAACCTTGCAGTTGCCCATGATGTCTCATTATTTTTTTCCAAACCACACATCCACTGCTCAGCAGTCATGTTGTTTCTACTTTTAGCATATAAACAGAATCTGACAATTTATTAGCATCTCCATCATGGACAGCATATGCTGTTCCAAGTCAACTGCATTTCTCCCTTATATTATCACAATAGCCTCCTAACTGGCCTCCCTAATTTCATTCTTGTCTTTTTATAGGTAATATTCAACACGGCATACTTCTGCTTCATGGCCTTTGTTCTTGCTCTTTTCTTGGTCTGAAATGTTCTTCCTTTAGATATCTTTGTATCTTGTTCCTTCATTTCCTTTAAGTCTTTGTTCAGATGCTGTATTTGTAGTGAGGCCTGCTCTGACTAGCCAATTTAAAATTTGACCCTCTAGCATTCTTCATCTCCCTTAACCCTAAATTAGTGACTTCGTCCTCTACTCTTCTAACATATTATATACTTCACTTATCGTGTATATATTGCCTGTCTTTCCCCTTGTTCACTGCTTTATCTCCATCATCTAGAACAGTGCATAGTATATGATGACAATTGAAAAATATATGTTGAATTAATGAATAGCAGGGGAGAAATTATACATTTAACATACATTACAACATCATGGGCTAAGTACTAATAACAGACAAATGTGCAAAGCACTGTTGATGAAAGCTAATAAGTGACTGACATGCTTTTCAGCTTTTGCTGAGTCAGTTTTCTCATTTGAAATACCTCCCTTGACTGCCATACTGTCCTAATCTACCAAGTCTTTAGGGGCCACCCTTCACGAAGTCCTTCTCTCTTTTTCTCTCAGCACATAAGTTTAGAAGCACCCATGGCACGCACTTACTTAACACTACCTTGAATCAGAAACATTCATATTCTCGTCTTCTGCCTGCCTGCTAAATTATAAATGCCTTCAAAGCAGTGAATTCATCTTTTTCATCTTTGTATCCTCAACAGAATCTCATTCAGTGCCTTGCATAAAATTCTCAATAAATACTTGCTGTAAAAATAAATTAATAAGCTGTCAGTTCCATTTACTTCAAAGGAATTATTTTATTGTCCTTAAGTCCATTACCTGAAAAGACTGACAAAGCCATCTGTATTGACTTTGCTACCTAGGGAATGTCTCTCGAAATCTAGATTAAGATTAAAGTTACTACAGAAGTTTAAACATTCATAGTGAATCCCCAAAGAAATAGTAATTTGCAGTGTGATACATTTCTATTTAAGATTGCCTTTAAAATAAATGTGTAAGTTCTGAGGACTGTCTTCCTTTCAAGAATTATAAAGGAGAACTGAATTCACAGACTATACAAAAGTAGTTGTCACCTGAAGCGATTGTCATAAGCAATTTTAAAGTTCAGATTTTTGTGAGCACACACCTCAAATGAAAAAGTGGAAAAGTAAGATTCTATTTATAAATAAGTCTGCAAACAAGCTCCCACAGTTTTCCAGAAGTATAGGAGATAATAGTATTCTCCCACTTCCAGAAAAGGTCTAGTATTTTAACAATTTATATCAACTTTGAGATGTCAGAATTGGGAAATATAGGTAGGATAACGAGAGACCTTTAGGGGTGTTTCACAATTAGGATAAAGATCAAATGCTACTGTAGCTTAGAGTTTCTATGTTTGATAATTATTACTTAAGTCTAAGGTAGGGCCAGGTAACAATGTCTACACTTCGAAGCATACATCCTTTTCATTTTTGCTCCTGTTTTTCCTCTGTCCCTTCTGCAGCAATAGCACAGTTTAGCTCTATTTGGTTTGTAGTAAAGGGACCTCTTTATAAAGAACTATGGTTCCCTCAAACAGTAAGTAGGACCAACAATAAAACTACTCATGCCAAATTCTTATCCACTGAATCAGATCTACCTATCTCAAGATGACAGTCTAATATGTTTATAATTTAATATGTAATCTATCATGATAGGAGATTTTGATTACTCCCTATCCAAAAGGAATATTCATAGTAAATTCAGAGTTTCTTTCAGTTCAAATACTTATATATGAAAAGTGTGTTCGTTTTGGCAGCACAAATACAAATGCTTATATATGAAAAACATAATTCCCTATTCTGCAAGAAACCATTTCAAAGAACTCGTTTAAAAATACTTTCAAGCCGGGCTCGGTGGCTCAGCCTGTAATCCCGCGCCTTTGGGAGGCTGAGGTGAGTGGATTGCCTGAGCCCGCGAGTTCGAGACCCGCCTGGGCGGCGAGACATCTCTACGATAAATAAAAAAATCAGCCAGGCATGGTAGCGCATGCCTGTAATTCCGGCTACTCGGAAGGCTGAGGCGAAAGGATCGCCAGAGCCCAGCAGGTCGAGGCTGCGGTGGCCGGGAGCGGCCACTGCACTCCAGTCCGGGCGACAGAGTGAGATTCCAACTCAAAAAAAAAAAAAAATTTTTTTTCAAATTTGCAGGGCAAATAAATCTGTCTGTAAATAGTAACCGAGAACCTACGTAATAACCAAGAATATTTGAATAGAACTTTACTGTTCTCAGTTAAATTATTGTTACCTAGATGAAAAAAAAAATTAAGATTCACAGTAGTAAAGGTCAAGTTTTATGTGGCAGAAGAGGACTCAACGTCTAGTGTCTCACATTTTCACACTGTATTTCTCTAGGATATTATGATGATTTTGCCAACAGATAAAAGAGATCAAATATATGAAATGAAAATCATGGGAATAAACGCAATTCCTGAAGAACTAACAATGTAAACCCTTCGTGAACTGCAGAAACCTAGCATAATCCTTGTAAAAACTGATTTAAGGAAGGATTTAGGCACCAACCTGAAATACCACAGTGGCCAAACATCCCAGTACTTTCCCTTCAAAGCACTTACCACGATGTGTGGTCAGTCATTACATCACTAGTCTTCTCTCTCCCACTAGACTATTAACTCCTTAAAACAGGGCTGTGTCTGCCTTCCTCACCTCACCAGGCAAGAGCCAGGTTTCCTGCTGCACATCAGTGAATTAAACACAAAATAGATGAGCCTCGGCCTGGGCCAGCGTTCTGGAAACGACTGCCTCCAAACACAAGCCTGCGTTCTTGCCTTTTTCCCTGCCAGCGAGCAGCTGTGTGTGATTTTCTACCGGTCACCGGGCATTTCTGTGCCGTTTAGTCCTCCGTAGGATGGGGACAGCCGGAGTCCCTCCCTCGCGGGCCGGCTGCGAGTTTTAAACGAGCCAACAAGTGGGCAGTGAGACTGGCACACAGTAGGCGCTTTCTAAGTGCTTGCTAGGAGGGCGTTTCTGGCCCACCCGAAAGGCAGCGCCCATTCTGTGCGGTAGGGTTCTTGCAGGAGTCATTCATTCATTACTTTTAGTCGTTATTTTATAGTCGTTCATTCATTCAGGCACTCAATCTTTTACCAGAGCCCACGCCTGGGTTGGAGCGCGTTCTCTTTTAATCCTCCCCGCAAACGCCTAGGCCACTTCGTCAATTGCAAATATCGAAGACCCTCCTATTAACTTTTTTTTTTTTTAGGTTAAGGTCTCACTCTTTCCACCCAGACCGGAGGGCAGCGGCACGATCAGGGTCGCCGCTGCCTCGACCTCCTGGGCTCAGGCAATCCTTCCGCCTCCGCCTCTCGAGTAGCTGGGACCACCCCCTGGCTAAAATTTTTTTGCGTTTTGTAGGGACGAGGTCTCGCTATGCTGCCCAGGCTGCTCTCGAACTCCCGGGCTCGAGCAATCCTTCCGCCTCGGCCTCCCAAAGTGCGGGGATGACAGGCGTGAGCCACGGCGCCCGGCCGGAACCTCCTATTAACCATGAACTCTGTCCTCGAACTCAGGGGGCCCTGAAGTCCCGACAAGCCGGGGACTGGGATCAGACCTATGCGGATCGCCTGTCCACCGAGCCGAGGCGACCCTGCACTACTCCGCGGCGGCGCGAGCGGCTCA